TTGCGATTCTACTTGCTATTCTACTGACCCTACCACACAAGATCCTGAATTCTACCATCTCGTGGTCGCTGCAACCAAGGCAGCCCTCAACCTTCACTCCTTCAAACACACCCTCCTTGTTAGTGAGGATGAGATCCAGCAGCGCACCTCTCCTGGTTGGCTCATCCACCATTTGCATGAGGAAGTTATCATCCATACACTGGAGGAACCTCCTGGACTGCGGCTGGGTTGCCGAGTAGTCCTTCCAGCAAACATCAGGGAAGTTAAAATCCCCCACAACGACCACGGCCTGTGACTGTGAGGCCGCTCTCAGCTGCCTATAGAAGGCCTCGTCAACTTCCTCACCCTGATCCGGTGGCCTGTAACAGACCCCCACAACAGTATCGCCCCTGCCAGCCTGCCCCTTAATTCTCACCCACAGACTCTCAACTCGCTCATCATCTGTCCCCGGACAGAACTCAACACATTGTAGCTGCTCTCGCACATAAAGAGCAACCCCACCACCCCGCCTGGCTGGCCTGTCTTTCCTGAAAAGGACATAGCCCTCCATGACTATATTCCAGTCATGTGAGCTGTCCCACCACGTCTCTGTAAGTGCCACCAGATCATAATCTCCTGACTTAACACAGGTTTCTAGCTCCTCCTGCTTATTTCCCATGCTGCGCGCATTGGTGTACAGACATTTCAGGGAGCGAGCTGAGCACACCGATTTCACCCTAGGATTACAGGAGGCCTCCCAGTCTTCATCAATTCCGGAGCGCTGTCCCACTGAGGCAAGCCCAGCTACAACCCCATCCCCCTTCGAATCTAGTTTAAAGCTCTCCAAATGAGCCCTGCTAATTCGTGCCCCAGCATCCTTTTGCCTCTGTGCGATAAACCTTTCCCACATGCCAATGTCCAGACTGGTGCCCTATAAAACCAGCCGTTATCAAAGAATCCAAAGCCCTGCCTGCAGCACCAGCCTCGAAGCCAATCGTTTATGGACTGCATTTTCCCATTCAGTCCCACATCATCAACAGAAGATGGAAGGAGCGAAGAGAAGATCACCTGAGCCCCAGAGTCTTTCACCATCTGCCCCAAGGCCCTGTAGTCTTTCTTTATCTCCCTCAGACTGCGGGAAGCAACTTCCCCCTCACCTGTCTGGAAGACCAGCAGCGGGTAGTAGTCTGTCGGGCGCACCAGGTTGGGGAGCGCCCTGGTGATATCCCTGATCCGGGCTCCAGGCAGACTACACACTTCCCTATGATGAGGGTCAACTCTGCATATCGGGCCCTCTGTTCCTTTCAGAATGGAATCACCTACTACAATGACCCTTCTTTCTTTCTTACCAGAGGCAGTCTTGAAGTGTGAAGTCGACCGCTTTTTCCTATGTGGCCTTGTAGGTGGGCCTTGCACCACATCCTCACCTACCTCTCCTTGCAGATCCAGAGCCTCAAACCTATTACAGAGGGACACCTGGGGAAGTGGGGCAGGAAGGGAGGAGGGCTGCCCACGACGCCGACCCAGAACTCGCTTCCAACCCTCATCATCTTTTTGGTCCCCTACCTCCGGGCGACAGCTACAGGACAGGGGCTGTCTCGGGCCATTCCCCTCTGTCTGAGAGGGGAGGGGGTCCATCCCCTTTTGGGGGGTATCTCCCTGGAGCCTGTTTTGACTGCACAGATCAGGGGTCCTTCAGGAAAGCCTCCTAGAAAGATCATCAAAACACTGACTTGTGTTAATAATAAAGTGAGAACGTTAGTAGGTCTGTGTTTTCTACAGGAAATGCATAGGGAGCATAAGTTTCTGAACACCTGGAAGGATGTTTAGCTCATAATATTGAATCATTTTCAGAAAATCACGTCTCTGACTAGCATGTAGTCATTTCGTGCATGACCCCTGTATCCTACTGGTCTTCTTGGTATGCTTTTCCACCATTACTTGTGCACACAGTGCTTTTGTGTTGCATTATTAATGGTAACCTTTTCCCTACAGGCTGTCTTGTTAGTCAGCCATTGTTTTGACCTCCTGGCCTGAGTTATCCAGGAGGAAAATGTCAGTGGACAAACTTGTAGCTTTTTTGGTGTCCCTTCAAGAATGCTTTTGTTGTTTTGTGAGGTTTTTTTCCTAGCTGTGGTAATATATAGAAACTGCCACCCTCGAAAGTGCAGAGCACAAAGGTGATCTGATAATTATGGCTAAAGGCAGACCCCTGAAATGTTGAGTTTTGCCTGAGTACTGTGGTTTGCATCACTATTTAAAACAAGGCAAGTCTGTCATCTAGGAGAAACAGAACAGCAGCAAGAGCCCATAACCAGCTAAACAACTGACCAATACAAACCCTCACTTGACCCAAATCATTTTCAGAGACATGCAAATACAAAAGCTTTCTTTGGAGAAATGTTTGTGGATGGTAGCTAGCATTTGTCTTGTGTCATCGTATATAAGCGTAACTTGAGGTTCGCTTTTTTTGTCCACAGGAAGTGTGTGATTGCCTGATGGTCACCAGTGTTTCTTGCAAGGTAGCTGTTGACCTGCTGGGAATTCCAGGTCAGAATAATACTTGCAGGATTATCCCAGCTCTCCTGGGCAATGTTACTTTCGTACACTTCCCTGAGATTTGTTTGAAGTCTTTTGTGAATCTTTTCCTTAGAAATCAAAAGAAAAACTTGTTTTGCTCTTTCAGGAATCCCTTGATAGGAGAAGGGTTATGAACATCAAGTTTTCTACCTGGTCATATTTTCAGTCATTACTTTTGTCATTTTCCAATAAACACTTCATTGTAATATTATTGACCACTTAGGCATACGATCACAAGAAGTGGCAATAAATATCTGGAGCTTAATGTTGAGCTGATCCAGAAAACAATGTTTCTTCTTGACTCCAGTATCTTTGGATCATGACCTAAGTGCTCTCTCAGGCTTTCAATGCTCATCTTTCCAGTAAAATCTGATGACTTAGAGTAGCAGGGAGGGTGAGAGTATTTGAAGAGTAAGAATAAAAGGAGGAACTGAATTATTTGACAGTAGATCTGATAGAGAAGGAAAAGAATAATGTTGTAGGAAAGAAGATGTAATCTTAAATATTTACTGCTCTGTTGTCAATGTCTCTGGACTGATTTAATATAGCATTATAAAAAAGTAAATTGTGCCAGACACACTTTCATTTTGTATGAAAAAATAAATTTAGCTGCAATTCAGTAAATGTTTAGGAAAGTAACAGATATTGTCTTGTATAAAGAACCTAAGATCAATAGCACTAACTTTTTAAAAGGACCTAAAGTTGCACTTTTATTGCATGTTATAAATAATCTTGTCCTTAGTATTGTGTCCCCAGGCAAACAGATCAGGAACTCTTTAAGGAGGAGATTGGAGTTCAATGTGCTCAGGTTTTCAGTACCTCTAATTTCCACAAACTTCCATATCCTTGTGTTTGGGATTTTTCCCTAAAAAAATTATTTTCATTTTTCTGGGATGGCTGTTTTTTCCAGGGTTACTACTTTGCCCTTGGTTCAGATAGATACAGCTAAAAAACAAAACAATGTCTTCAGGATATTCCTTTTAGGGCTAAGCACAAATACAGTGCCTGGGATATTATATGGAAGTCAGGCCTTTTCCTGCTAAGCACGCAGCTGTTGAAATAAATGGGTAGGTTGTGATTTCTGTACTGCTCAGATGTTTTTTGGGCTGCAATTGATATGTAGATACAGATCAGTAGATACTAATTTTATTATTTCATCTTGTTCTTCTTAAAAACTCACCATAACACTGAATTATAGCATAAAAGGACGTGTTTTGAGTCAAGTGTGTGCTTAAAGCAAGGGCTCAGCATAAGTGTAGAGTTTAAATCTCCCTGCCCCTGTGAATTCTTTCCCAAATCACTGTCCTTTTTGGAGCCTGGAGAGATTTACTGATTAGGCACAGATTGGTGCTTAATCAGAGAAAGTCAAAAACGCCCGCCTTCGATGAGGCTTGCTTCCGGGGGGACCACTGCCATCCTGGTCCTCCTGCACAGCTGGGTGCTCAGTAGGGCCAGCAGCTTTGTCAGGAACATGCCTGTGAGTTAGCATCAGACAGCTAAAGCTGTTACTGCCCATAGCTGTCTGCTCCACCCTGCTGGTGGTAAACCCACTTTGATGTCAGGTTAACTCAGAATGCCGGGCTGAAAAGCAGTGTGAGTTAAGAGTTGATTCATGAGTGGATCAGACATCTCTGCCTTGGGGGCAGTAACACCTGTTAGGCAGGTGGGGAGGAAGGCAGGGAGTGGTATCAGCTTCAGCTGTCCAATTTTCATCTGCTGCTGCATGTCCATCAGAGCCCTGCAGTCACAGGTTGCCCTTGATTAAAATGTCCTTCCCAGCCTGAGCTATGCTGCTCCTTGTACTCAATGGGATTGAGGTTTACAGGATCAAAAGTTCTGGCTTTTCTTGACATATGGCCACAAGCCTATTGCAAAAGCAAACTTTTCTGACCATATGAGTCAGAGCTGTGTGATGCTCTCTTCAGCCCTCAGCATGAGGATAGGGAAGACTGCAATTTGAAACTCCAGCAGCTGCCTTTTCCTTCTGCTTCTGCAGTTTTTCTGACATCTTCTCTACCTTACTGGATTTGTCAAAACCTGCACTTAATTTTGCAAATCTCAGTAATTTTCTCTGTTTACGTTACACTACATTTTGCTAACATGTTTTAGTAAATCTGTTTTTCTACTCAGATCTTAAAGGCAGCTGCAGTTAACAGCCATGCGAATACCATAGGGTTAGCTTGGTCAACCGAGTGCTTTCTTTTAGGATATCACAGTTGTTCTCAATTTAAGGACTACCTGTTATGGACAAAAAACCATGGTCAGTCCTGGACATTGTAGGCAAAATAGTTAAGTTTAAAAACTTGGGTGTAATTTGTTGTTTGTGTTTGTTTGTTTGTTTTCTGCTTTGCTTAGTGGCTTGCTTTTATCTGTAGGAGCCTCTATATGGTTTTATTAAAAATGATAATCCCATTTATGAATGATTTCCTGATCTCTTGCAGTCTGAGCTCTGCTGACCATCTGAAAAGCCTTGCCAGCCTCTGAGAAATTTCAGTCATAGACAAAGTCTTTATTAGTAAAGCAGAAACTGCTGAAAGTTGTCAATTAATCTCGTATTGTTTTGACCAGCCTCCCAAATTCAAGTAAGATGGAAGAAGCTGATTTGCTTGATTAAATTAATCTTGTGGTGTATTAAAGGACTTTATATAAACTGCACCTAGACAATATGCTGGGGTCAATTGCGGGGTATACAGGTACCCATGGTAAAGAAGCTATGTTTCAGGAGTAGCTTGGGAAACACGGAGATGCAGAACTGCTTTGGAGTGCATGCTAAGCTTGGTAGTACAGATGTAGCTCAAACATCTTCTGTTCCTGCTTATGATGACAAAAATAGTATTGCTAAATAGTCCTGCCTTTCTTTCTGGCATGAAATCCATTAAAAAGAAATGAAAGACACTTGTTATTATCTTCTACGCAGAAGAAACTAGTTGCACTGGAAGCAGTGCTGAAAGAAGTAACCTCGCTGTAAGATCTTCTGGCAGTACTTACTCAGCAGAGATGAATAAGGAGGGAGAACATCAGAAAGCAGAGGACGTATGGGTGAGTAGGACAATCCATGTCATGAAAGCTTTCATTAGAAACCGGATTTATTCTCCTGGGTTCTTTTAATATTTTTTGTTTATTGTTTTCCAATAAACAAAAAATTGCCTCTTATATATGTGTATTAGTGAGAAACACAGGAGTATTACTGCTGGTACTCAGCCCGTGCAGAAGTGTAAAAGCTGCAGTGGAGCTGCTTTCACCTCCCACTCACTCTGAGAGCTGGAAAAATAAAAATACAGATGCCCGGAACAGGTAGAAAAAAATAAAAATAAATAAAAATCTGTAGTTGTGTAGTCCCAGTGAAACTCACCCTTATACTCGCAAAAACTTTGTTCTATCAAAATCTCCATGCTTTTCCTATGGCCAGTTCATATCCCATTATTTTACAATTAGGAGATTATTATTCTTCTAAGGTACCAAATCAGATATATACCTTGGAATAGGAAAATATTAGGAATGATGTATCCCTTCACTCCTTTTTTAGTTTGCTGATAATGAGCCAAAATTGACTTGGCTTTGTAGAAGTACAGGTCTGTATTCAGATTAGTTATACGCTAAATACACTTTCGCTGTAGGAAAAAGTCTGCAAAACTCCTGAAAGAAGTTGCTAGCTCTCTGAAACAAAATGTTCCTCATCCATATTTTCATTTCTTCCCTTTTTTTTCCTTTTTTTTTCTCCTTTTGCAGACCCACTAAATGAACGTGGGATTGTTTGTTTTCTGCTAATTAAAACCATTAACTAAATTATTTAATTATCCCAAGTTTATTGGATCACTCTGGTTGGGAGTGAGTAAGAAAGATTTGATCAGGTAAATATATATAGCTGAGGAAAGTATGCGTTTAATGTGGGAGTTGGCATGGGTTAGTGCGCCAAATATTATTTTAGATTTGTTTTTTTAAACACAAAAGATGGTGAATAAAGATAGTTATTTAATCTGGTTCTGTTTCTCTGGAGTCAGTGCTAGTGTTGCATTGATCAGGTACAGGGTTGGGTGTGTTCTTGCCCCTTCCATTGCTTCCCTTACTCCTTTCCTTCCAGTCAGGGTGTCTCTTGTTCTGCCTCAGATTAGTGGATGAGGGAAACTAAAGCAAATGCAGTCTCCTGTGGGCTTGCGTACAGTTTAGGGTGGAAAGGGGATTGCAGCCACAGAAAGACTTGCATTAGATCTTTAGCAGACTCCGTCAAACCTCTTTGCCTTGCTACACAGTACATCCTAAAGTGTCTACTTGCAGTACAACAGGGGATTAAAAACCACAACTATGACCTGCCTCAGAAACAGACTAGGGAAGAGGGAAAGTGTCAACCAACAGTTTTCGTTATCATCTTTGAAGCTTTGCTATTTCTTACTCTCTATCATTTTTCTTTCAAATCTCTTACTCTAAGCACATGCCTCAGGAAAGCATTAAAATAACATATTGACTTCTGCAGCTCCTGCCTCTTTTCTTTCTCTAACAAATATTTATGCAGGTTTGAGAGCAACACAGTGCATGGAGCCATCACAGTGATGGCTGTTGAGCTGGGTTCAGCTCCTAGACTTTTGTTTTCTAGAGCCTGCTCTCAGACTCTGCCTTGCTCTGACTCTTGCACTCTCAGAAATGCCCAGGGTGCAGACAGAGCCTGATGGCTACCCACACACCTCTGCCTTACCTCTGGTCTTGGTAGTCTGTTTCCATCAAGCTCTCAGTTTCCTTCCTAATAGTTCCTGGTTTCAAACATTTTCTGTTTGAAACAGAAAATGTTTCACTTTGCTGTCTTCTCTGTTCTCACATTTCTGATTCATGCAGATGCTGGGGATGCAGAATAGAGTGTAACACAGACCCTGCTGGTAGTCTCCCTCTGCTGCAAAAACTGGCCCTTTCTTTTAACTGGTTATTAATCTAGGAAGGGATCTTCACTTTCTCCTGGGTATTTTTGTATTTTTTTGTTTTGTTTGGAGTTAACTGGAAGTTCAGCTGTAATTGAAGGTAAACCTTTGGGTCCAGAGGAGGAACTTAAAGAGGACTGAGGGCTGAGAGAGTTGGGTTTGCTCATTTTAGAAAAGACAAGGCTCTGGGAAGACCTTATTGTGACCCTTCAAGGCCTATAGGAAAGATGAGGACAGACTTTTTAGTAGGGCCAATAATGATAGGACAAGGGGCAAGGGCTTTAAATCAAAAGAGGGGAGATTTAGGCTAGATACCGGGAAGAAATTTTACTATGAGGGTGGTGAAACACTGGAACAGGTTGCCCAGAGGTCGTGGAAGCCTGTGAACATGCAAGGTCACATTCAAGCCACATTCACATTCAAGTCACATTCAAGCCACATTCAAGGTCACATTCAAGGTCACGTTCAAGCCCTGTGGACATTCAGGGTCAGGCAGGACAGAGTTCTGAGCAGCCTGATCTAGTTGAAGATGTCCCTGGTCATTGCAGGGGAGTTGGAACTAGATGATCTTTAAAGCTCCCTTCCAACTCTAAACTATTCTATGATTCTAAATCAGTTAAGAAAAAGGAATCTGGATTGCATTTGTCTTGTCTTCTTAAGGAAAGAAGTTGTGAATGGGGTAGAGCTTTCAAAAATCATGAAGGAACAAGATGATAGCCTGTGCAGGCAGAAGTGCATACCTCTTTCAAATGATTCAGTCTTTGTTGTGGTGTCTTGGAAATATCATGTGTAATTCTGCTAAGCACACTGAATCATTAAATACTGTAAGCTCTTTCCATTATTAATTGTTCTCACATTCTATAAAGCAGGAAAACAGCCAAAGGTGCATAATCTTAATTCCTAGTCTCCTTATATAATTTAACTAGTGTTCAGTGACCTTTATCTGGAGAATGATTTTTTAAAAGCCTTTTCAAAATCCTTTTTTTTTTACATGACATCCGTACTTTCAGCTATGCCTGAGTTTTTTTGCCAAGCTTGGGGGAAGGTCAGGATATTATATGAAACAGATCATCTTGCTTGTAGCCATTCTCCAATAAAGAAATAAAAGAGATCACTAAAGCATGTTGAAGCCATGATAATCCAGATTTTGGAAATTCCTGTTAGCAGAGCACTTGCGGGTATTAACAGAAAATATGTTTTCTTTAAGGATGAGTACCTGCAATAGCTGCTGTCACTCAGTGACTGAGAGCTTTCTGTGCATGCAGATATCATGCTCAAAAAAGTGTTGCTCACGTCGCAGTCTTGATATGTGCCTTATTATGGTCAGATCGGTAAAAGCAGAAGTATGTCAAATCTGACCACACTTCAAACTACATTAACCTTTTTTTTGGAAACTGGAAGATTTTTTTCACTGAGAAGTTTGTATCTGTTTACTCCTGATTGGGCAACCACCTTTCCCCCCCTATCTGTTAAGATAAAATGTGAATTTCTTTAAACTTTCTTTGCTTGAAGATGCTGGTGGACAAATAGCAGATACCTAAATAATAACAAATCATCAAATTCAGTAATATGTCACCAGTGATCCAAATAGCAGAATTCATTGCTCATTTTAAATAAAAACAAACAAAAATCCTTTGTGTATTCCAGGGCAAGGTATTCCCCAGGGAAAAAGAAAATCTAGGGAGTGCTTAATGCTTGATGTGCTGTGGTATATATCTTATTATAAGAATGAAAAATTGCACTTGTCACCTGCTGTATTTTCTGGCTGTTCACCTTTTAGGTACAGAAGTCTTCAAGGGCAAGTTCAGGAAATTAAGATAGAAGAAACAGGAAAAGATCAATATTTGCTATCTTTTTTTAAAAAAGAAGTTTTACTTGGCTTGAAGAGATCCTGTTATAAGGTATGCATAAGGTATGTCCTTATTTTGTACATTTTGAGCTACTTCCTAGGCCGATCATACGCATTTCAAAGAAATGAAGAAGTGTGTAGAAATATGGGCAAGAGAGATTGATTTATTAATTTTTTAGGGTAACTATTCTATCCTACATTGCTCGTATGAGAAAGAAAACCCCAAGTGTGAACCAGTTGCAATGCAGTGAAATTTCCTACAAAAAAAAAAAAAAAAAAGAGAGAAAAGTTTAAATCAGCTTAAGTTTTGCATAGAAGTTCAAATTACTGTCCTGGTGTTGCTCATTGAAATGGAGGCAAAATTGTATTACTCTGTTGTGAGAAAGCCAGGACTGGGTAGTCAGCAAAACAAATTACTGATTTCTGATTAATTCGAAAGTAACAGAGATAAAACTGCTACAGAACTATGTGTTTATTTGTTTATAATGTTCCTGGCCAAAGTGTTTCACTGAACACTGACATGTTGAGTAACTAGCGTTGTAGGTCATGCGTTGCTTTCTATAGTTCTGATAATTATAAGTTTAAGAACTATATAAAGCATTAAAATTAAATCCTCCTGCTAGGTGAGGATTGTTTTCCAGAGCAGATGTTACACTTTCTTATGGTATTTAATATCTTAAGGGTTCAAGCTTCTAGAAGAGCATTCAAGTCTGTAACTGTGAGAGCAGAAGAAACATGGCAAAACAAAGAAGTCAAGCAGCACCCCTTGAGCACATGAGCTGTGGGCAGGAAACATAGTGTATTTTCCTGTTCTCTATTTTGTCCCATTTTACTCAGCCTTGTTTCACGTTACTTCTTGAAATTTAATCCTTACACATACAGGTAGTTAATCCTAATGGGCATCTGAAGGGTAAAGCATTATTTACTAAAATGTGGTGTCAGACCTTGAGGGTATAAAGTGGGAGTATCATTCTGTTCTTCCTCAGAAGAAAATGGGCACAGGCAGCCCTATCTTAGTGTTGTGCTGGGAACAAAGTACATGACTTTCATGTTTCTGTTCTAATGCCAAAGGCTAAATTTATAGGTAGAACTGACAGTTGGTATAGATACAGTGTTTGTAGAGTGATCAGATTTGCTATGGAAACTGCTGACATGGATCTCTATCTCAACGGTTATTGAAGTTAATTTTTTGAGTGAAGTCTCAACATAACTGCTGGAGATTTTAACTTGCAATGGATTTGTCACAGGTTGGAGACATTCCTAAGAGAAATGCCCTC